ATTAGTTTTCTTATCCTGCTTCCTGTCCATTGAAATTTGGAGGCCGCTTTTCAGTTTGACACCAATTTCTTACAGTTTTATGAGATTTCTGGTGCCAAGAAAATTAAGGAGGAAAGAATAGTCTTTTCACTAAATAGTGCTGGAATGAATCTGTATTCAAAGGAATGAAGCTGTATCCCTTCACAAAATTAAGACTATAAAGAAATTAAGCCAAAATGGGTCATAGACCTAAATGCAGGAGCTAAACTATAATGTAAAAAAAAACCTCACAGAATGGGAGTAAATATTTGCAAATCATATATCTAATTGGAAACTAGAATCCAGAATATAAAGAACTCTTACAACTCAACAAAAGACAAATAACCCAATTTAAAAAATGGTCAAAAGATCTGAGTGAACATTTCTTCAAATTAGATATGTAAACACATGAAAAGATGCTTAACATCATTAGTTATCAGGTAAATGCAAATCAAAACCACAGTGAGATACTACTTCATATCATTCACTTGTGAAAAAACACAAGTGTTGGCAAGGATGTGGAGAAACCAGAACCCTCATCCATTGCTGGAATGTCAAGTGGTACAGCTACTTTGGAAAACAGTCTGTCATTTTCTCAAAAACCTCAACATGGAGCCACCATACAGCCCAGTAATTCCACTCCTAGGCATATAACCCAAGATAACAGAAAACATGTCCATGTGCAAACTTGTACCCAAAGGTCCATAGCAGCATTATTCATAATACCAAAAAAGGTATTATGAATCAACCCAAATGTCCATCAACTGATAAATGGATAAACAAAATGTAGCAGATTCATACATCATTAAACTATAAAAAGGGTGAAGAACTGATTCATGTTACAATATGAACTTTGAAAACCTCATGCTAAGTGAAAGAAGCCAGACACAAAAGGCCATATATTGTATGTACCGTATGAGTCAATTTATATGAAATGTCCTACTATAGGCAAATCCATAGGGACAGAAAGCAGATTAATGACAAATGTCCTCCCCCCCAACACACACACACACACTGGTAACTATGTGTGATGATGGATATGTTACATTGTGGTAATCATTTCACAATGTGTATGTATATCAAATCATTGTGTTATACATCTTGAATACGTACAATTTTTATTTGTTAAATATACCTCAATAAAGCTGAAGGAAAAAAATGTAGATTAGTGGTTGCTAGGGAGTGGTGGAAAGGAAAAGAAGAAATATTGCTAACAGATATGTGGTTTCCATTTGGAGTGATGAAATGTTCTGGAAGTAGATGCGGGTGATGATTGGACACTTTGTGAATATACTAAAACCACGGAATCATACACTTTAAAGGGCGAATTTTAGTGTATATGATTACATTTCTACTAAAAGAGACTTTGTGGGCTTTCTGTATATCAAGTTAAACTCTAGTCTGTTGAGGACAATCATACCCGCCATTCTTTTCTTGACAGGTCTCTATTGTGTCCAGGTGCTGTGAAACACTACCCTTTAGATTCTGAAAAGGCCTTTTGTCTAGCTGAGAGGGTCTACTTTTAAATCATTAACTTATTTTAAATGTCTTAATAAAGGATTATATAGCCACACCTTTGGCTTGATTCTTTTTCTGAGGCTATTTCTTACTTAGAAAATTTTTTGCCGCTGGAGATACTGAAAGTAGAAAATAATTTATTTTCCAGCCCAGAATATCTTAAGCCCTTCATATCTCCTCTAAATTCTGCTGGAAAACTGAACATATCTTGAATTAGTTTACCTATCTTTTCCTATACCTTATCATACTCAGCTGAACAAACAGATAAAAGGCCATTGATACTGTCAACATTGTCTGGAAATATCCTTAATTAGATCCATGAGTTCATTAGGTAGAACTTCTCTTTTCCAATTTATTTAGACAACAGTTTGCTAAATATACCATCACTACATACCACAGCTGAGCTACTTGGACCCAGTGAGTCCCTCTTTCCCAAGAAAAAAGGGCTTGAAAATGGCCTCAACTGGGTGAGGTGGTTAATGTTTGTAATCTGAGCACTTTGGGAGGCTGAGGCAGGAGGATCACTTGAAGCCAGGAGTTCAAGACTAGCCTGGGCAACATATCAAGACCATATCTCTACACACACGCGTGCACACACATACACACACACGTACACACTCCACTCCAGGTAACATATCAAGACCACATCTCTACACACACACACACACACACACACACACACACACACACACACACACACACACTTACTCACTCCAGGTAAGGTGGTGCTTTCCTGTAATCCTAGCTACCAGGAAGCTGCTTGGGATTGTTTGAGCCAGGGAGGTCAAGGCCTCAGTGAACTGTGATCCTGTCACTGCACTCTAGCCTAGAGAACAGAGCAAGATCCTGTTCCACCCTCACCCACGAGTAAAAAGAGATGCCCAAATGCACCATATAGTCACCAAGACATGGTGTAATCTGTTTCAAAATTGTATTCATTCTAGTGGGTATTTAGAGGCATCTTATTATGGTTTTAATTTGCATTCCTTTGATGACTGAAGATGTTGAGCATCTTTTCATGTGCTTATTGCCATTCCTATATTCTCTTTTGTGAAATGTTTTTTTCAAATCTTTTGCCCATTAAAAAAAATTTGGGTTATGTCTTATCATTAAGCTGTAAGAGTGCTTCTGATATTCTAGAAAAAAGCCCTTTGTGAGATACATGCATTGCAAATAATTTCTCCCAGTCTGTGGCTTACATTTTCACTCTCCGAGTGGTCCTTTAAAAGAGCAGCTTTTAGATATTGAGGCAAAATTTATTTTTTTTAATGTTATGGTTTGTAATTTTTGTGTCCTTTCTAGGAAATCTTTGTTTTATTCCAAGAGTGATGAAGATTTTTCTGTTTGCCTCTATAAGTTTAATGGTTTTGGATTTTAAATGTAGGATTATGATCCATATCATATTAATAGCTGCAAATGGTAGGAAGTTATGGTTGAAGGTAATTTATTTTTCCATATGGATGGATGCTCACTTACTCATTTTTTTTAAAAGACCTTTTTTCTTCAATGAAAATTTCGATACGTAGGTGCTCCTATAAGCTTTTATTCTGTTCCATTGATACATATGTTTTTTCCAATTCCAACAGTAAATTGTTTTCATTACTATAACTTTATAGTAAGTCTTGAAGTAAAGAAATAAGTCTCTCAACTTTGTTCTTTTGTTACAAAGTTATTTGGCCATCCTATGTCCTTTTAATAAGTGATTATGTCAATGTAGTTTTTCTGTTTATACTTTTGCTTTCAATCAGGTTAACTGATATAATTTACATGTTAAATTTCAAACAGCATTACAAGTTTATCCAGCACATTCACATAAAGAAGCATTTTAAATGGCATCAGGCTTACGGGTTATCTTCAAACTTGTTTTAATGTATATCATTAAGTATGGCAGAAAACCACGATCCTTAAAAGAAAGGAATAAAAACAAACAAAAAAAAGGATAACCCAAAACTTGCAGAGATCCTGTGTTTGGATAAGCAGTGTGGTTCAACACATACAAGTTCTCATTCTAGCTCTGTAATTGCTGAGCTATGTGATCCTGGATAGAACACTTAATCTTGCTATACTTCAATTTCTTATCTATAAAATGGGAAATAGCTACCTAATAGGGCTGTAATGAGATAATCATGTAAAATGATTAAGTCTGTCACCAGTGCTCAATAAACATTAGTCATGATTGTCATCTTTATATGATCCCTGTGAAGTCAGCATTATTTTCCCCATTTTTAGTAGAGCAAATTGAGGCTATGAGAGCTTTTCTTTCCTATGACCATTACTCTGTTCCCAGGAATGTTTTCAAATTGCCTGATCTAATGGATTATACTTTAAAACCAACTGGTCCCTCTCATATTATAAATGCTTATTAGTCTGATTAAATAAATTTACATTTAAAAGCACCTATTGGTACAGCGTTTTTTTCCTTTTGAGATAGGATATAAATCTTTCTCCCAGGCTGGAGTACAGTGGGGTGCAATCATGGCTCACTGCAGCCTCGACCTTCTAGGATCAAGCAGTCCTCCCACCTCAGCCTAAGTAGCTTAAGACCCCTCCTAAGTAGCTACAGGAGTGTGCTACCATGTGCAGCTAATTTATTTTTTGTAGAGATCTGGTCTCACTATGTTGCCCAGGCTGGTCTTGAACTCCTAGGCTCAAGCAATCCTCCTGCCTCAACCTCCCAGAGTGCTGGGATTACACGTGTGAGCCATGGTACAGAATTTCAAAAGACAATTTTGCTAACTTCATAGAATCTTTGAAATATTGGCTTACTCTTGCAATTCCTATGATAGTGAACAATTCAGACAAAAAGGAGCATTTCAAATCAGCAATTTCATGGAACCCCTAGAAATGCTTTTTGAAAGCATTCACTTTAAATTCAACATAGGCAAGCAAAGCACATGTGATAAGCAAATTTCTTTAATTGGAAGAAACTATAAAGATGGTAGATTTGATTACATAAAAACTAAACATTTCAGAACACTATAAACAAAAGGACAAAGGGCCAATATCCTTAACATAAAAGAACACGTATAAACAAGTAAGAAAAAGTCAAAAACAGTTCAAAATAAAAATGGGCAAAAGCTAGAAATAAACAATTACAGAGGTGCCAACACGTTTTTTAGAAAAGCATCCCTTACTCTTTTCAGTTGTCAAAAAGGAAATGAGGACTCTGCTGGTAGGAATACATATTAGTCTTATCAGGAAGGCAATTAAAAGCATACTTGAAAATAATCAGTGACATGCTGGGAAGATTCATTAAAGTTTTATGTGTTACAGGGAAAGACTGAATCTTTATGTCCAATAGTGGGGGATAAGTTAAACAAATTGCGGTTCTTCTGTATTAGGCAGTTAGTAAAATAATGACATAAAATTCACAACATATTGTTAAGTGAAAAGCAGGTTATAAATTCATATACACACAACACACATGCATAAACACATATGATTCCAATTTTGAAAATATTTAAAAAATTACATACATTTCAAAAATATTAACAGTGGTTATGTCTAGACAGTAGGGGGGAAATGTTGGTCGTTTTTTTTCACCTGCATTTTCAGGTTTTCTACCAAGGGAAAAGATACTTTTTTCCTGGGAGACTGTACTTAGTGTTATTTTCATTATGTCTTATTTTCACAATTTATCTTCTTTCTTCATTTTTGATTCCAAACAAACATTTAATAGCCCCAACAAAGGTGGCTCTAGGGCTGAGGCCTGTTTGAATTTTTTTTGTCAATATTCTTTATATCAGGAGCAGTTCAATAAACTATGCTCTTGGAATACGTGGGAAAAGTCATTGGCAATATCTTACTTAAGTCTAAGAAATGTAAGGTGGAACTTAGTATACATAACAACAAAGACGTGTAATCCAAAAAGTAAAAAAAAAAAATTCTGTTTATTGTAACAATTAAATAACTAAGAGTAAACATTTTAAAACATATAAAAATAACTTTAACATTAAAATATAGCAACACCGTATAAAATATGTATCTAAATAAAAATACATTAACATAGCATCCCCAAAACTATACAAATGTAGTATATTCATGAAATTCTTCAGAAATATAACATCTATTCTTTGAATAAAGTTTAAAATTTGTTTATAATTTTCAAACTAAGAAAAGAAGTAGTAAATAATAGCTCCATCCAATTTATAATTGTCCTAAAAGAATGATTTTGTATCATTTCTTGCTTGTCTTTTCTAACACCCATTCAATCACCTAGGGAAAGAAAAAATATGATTATAATAGATTTCTACTGAAAACACAAGTAATAGAAAAATATATTGTAAAAACTTCAAAAGAACATGGCGGAAAATTTAAAATAAAAAGGAAGATATTGAAATTTTATTCTTAAAAACACATTTTATTTTCTAATGGAAGAATATTTTTGTTGGACTTCCAATGCTGAGTACAATATTGTTCTCATTGGATGAAATAAAGATTCTGCTCCATTTTCTCACCTTTATATGAAAATATGCTTCAAATGGTCAATCAAATAAACTAAACTTTGAAAATAGCTAACCAAAATGGATTGGTTTTTCCAGCGTGTCAGATAAATTATTTTTTCTTTTGCTTTCTTGGCATCCCCTTAGCAACTCTTTTGCTGACAGAGCAACCTATTAAATACTATGAAATACTCAGCCTAAATAAGCCTATTATTAAGCTTCTTAAAGAGTTTTCACAGGGACTGAATTGAAAAAGACCACTAACTAATTATTGCTGCATATATAATAGCATCAGAGCAGCCCTGAAATAAAATACCACTTTAATTGAATATAGTTTCTTGGGAATAATTTCTTTACCTGTACAGCATTGTTGTTTGCTGTTTTCTTCATTTCTTCAAATAGGCCCCTTGAAGTCTTAAGATCCTAAACATAATAAAATATAGCATTTACCATCTGCATATTAAATTACAAAGAACAACTCATTATTATTAAATACACTTGAGATTATCCTAAATCATTCTACAAGTATCAATGTGATTAGGGATAGGCTACATAAAAAATCTAAGTACTGGATTATAATTTAGTTCCATTCTGACATATCAAAATACTCTAACCAAAATGCATACACATATACATAAGCCCATCTCATTCTCATCTCCTATTCCCAACAGAGCTGACCTAAACTGACTCCCATCCTCCACCATGAGCATCCACTAATGCTCTATTACTCAGGCAACAAATACATGGTTTGTATTTATTTATCAGATAAAATACATTTTTTCTTCATTTTGGATATTTGATTCCATCACAAAGAATGACATACAAAAGGAAACTGATGTCTGTGGCTTTAAAAAATTTAGTGATTATGTCAAATTAGATTACAAATTCAAAGACATGAAATTTTATTTAAAAAGATAAGAAGCAGTTATCTGCTGTACTTCCAAGTTACACTCCATAAAGCCAGCCACTTTCAATTCTTTCAGGTTTTTCCCTTATTTATACCTTAATGTATCTAACTACTATGCTTATACTGCTACTTGGTGATTTAACACTTTTAGACAGTGACTATTGATGTTAGGGAGCACAGTCACGGATTCAGGTCTCATACAAAAAATCTTCTTTCTCTTCCTTTCAATAACAGTTGTACCACAATTTTTGATTAGTCAACAGTTAGCATTTGCACTATTATATCTACGTAAATACTTTCAATCGTGTGCGCATAATGTATTATGGTTATAACTTATCTTTATTCCAATATTCTATTTATCCTATTAACTACCTGTTAGGTTTTTTCATTTGCTCAGTTTTCCATGTATATAATTCTGGGTTTTTTTCCTCCTAAATACTGACAATAAATGGACTAAATGTACAGCAAAGTTTTTTCAAGCACTGAAGTCTATGGGATAATCGCTCAGTTCAGCTTCATTTCTGCTTTTGGTCTTTTTAATTAAATTCTTTAAACCTGGAGATCTTTCTCCCATAGTCTCCTCTAATTCGGTCTAGTTGCTGCCTAGGCCTGGTCCTATCAGGATTTGTCTTTCCCATTTTAGGTTAGTTTTTGTTTTATTTCTTGATTTAACCCTTTGTTCTACTGAACTTCATCTTCTAGCAGATTCCTCAAAAGGATAAAACAAATTCTTTTCCAGATATTCCATGTTTGAATGTATCTTCATTAAATCCTCATACCTGACTGCACTCCAGACTGGGTATAGAATACTAGGTAAGTTGCTTTTCTCAGAATTTTCTTTTCTTTTTTTCTTTTAATTCTAGGAACATATATCCCCACAGAATTCGAAGATACTGTTCTACTATCTTCTAGCATACAGTGTTACTGTGGAGAAGTCCAATGCCATTCTGATGATTGATACTCTCTATATAAACTAGATTATCTTCTGGGAAGCTTTTAATATTCTCTCCATGCTAGCAGGTGTGAAATTCCACAACTATGTGACTCGTTGAAGAATTTTCATTCGTTGGTTTGGACAAGCTAGGAGGCTTGTGTCCAGTCCTGGAAAAGTTTGATACATTTTTGAACAAGTTTTTCTCTCCTAAATTTTGAGAATAAAGAAGAGAAAATTGTTCAAAAATGTAAAACTTGTATTATTAGCATTCTGGATCTTCTGTATTAATCGTCCAATTTTCTTATCCTGGATTCAATGTTTTTGTCATTTGATTCTAATTTCTGGTAATTTTTTCATCTCAACTGTTCAGTCTTTCTGTTTAATTGATTTTATCATATTTTTAATTTTATGGAGTTTTCATGTTTTATGCTTTTTTTGGAAACAGCATCCTGTTCTCATTTTACTGATGTGATTATCTTCTAAGAGAGTTATAGTTTTTATGAGGTTTTCTTAAACTTCCTGCTTCTTCAGAGTTCCCTCTATTCCTTTATGTTTTGCCATCAATTGTGTTAGAAGCTTTCCTCAAAGCCTGCAAATCCATGGCTTTCCAGTCATATTTAAAAGTGAGACACTAAAAATCTGACTGGAATCTCTGAGCAGAGATTGTCACTGGTTTCTTTTCAAAGTGACAAGATGGCCAGTTGGCTCTTCCATTGTAGCTTCCAATATTTTCCCCAGAGACTATTTTCTGCACTGTCACTGGGGCAGGTGGAAAAACATCTACATGATAGACCTTGTAGTTAACAATGTGGGAGAAGAGCATACAGAGCAAGTTGGACAGGTCGCTTTGTAGATCTTTATTTAACTTCCCTACTTTTTATGTGGACTCTTGCCCCCTGCTTTCCATGATACCTGATGTCTTCAAATCCCGAGCACCTCAGATTCTGTCGAATTAACATGCTTCTCACTAGTATTCCACTGGGCACCCAATTAGATTGCAACTTTTTTTACTCTCTTACACCATGCTGCATGTGCTTTTTTGTTACTGTTCAACAATATATTAAAAACCTTTCTCGTTTTTTCTTATCCCTTCCCTTGGTTTTTGTAGATTAACAGTGTCTTTCTTGAAAGATCTTAGAAAGAAAGGGAATTGAATATGTGATAAATCTGCAGTTTTAACCTGAAACTTACAGATAACTGTGATTCAAGTCAGAAACTTGTAAGGCTGGACATAATCTAACATCATCTAAGTTTTTAAAAACCATCACCTGAGTGGCTGACCTCCCCAATGTGCTACAAGTAGCTGATAATGGATCCAGATTTAGAAACTGGGTGTTTTGATATTTAGTTCAGTAGCCATTTTACTACACAGTCATCCCTTGGTCCCTGTGAAGGAATGATTCCATGATCCTGCTGAGAATACCAAAATCCACCGATAGTCAAATCCCTTATATAAAATGGTGTAGTGTTTGCATATAACCTATGCATATTTTCCCATATACTTTTTTAAAAGTCCGTACATGTTCAGTACAGATGCAGCATCTTTTTTTTTTTTTTCCAGAATATTTTCAATTCACAGTTAGTAGAGTCCATGGATGTGGAACCCATGGATACAGAACCCACAGATATGGAGGGCCAACTGTATTAAAAGATTACTAATCAAACATCTTTTGAAGCTTGTTACCTATAAGTCAAAGACATATTAGGAGAAATAGGGTACTGATTAAAATGTAGCTTTCTATATATGCGAACTAAAATCAAATATAAAGTAGTTTAGCTTCAATTTTTCTATCTCCATCATTTAATAAATCTGGCAGCAAGTATATGCTCTCGGTATAAAAAAAATACTGAAACGTTTTTTATGTCAAACAGAAACATTAGAACATGAACTAAATTTGGCCAGTAGTAGAGAAGATACTGTACCTTTAGATAGAACTTAGAGATTTCAAAGAGACGCTGGCTGCATGCAGTGAAACATTCATGAGTCTCAGTAATACTGTGTTTCTTCAGGGTTTCAGTAACTACTTCTTTCAATATCTTGAACAGAACATAACATATGGCTAATATTTCTTGGAAAAGGAACAAACCTATTATTTCAGCTTTAGAGTTCAATCCTATGATTTACACAATCATCTTGCTGTGCTAAAAGACAGACATGTTCATTAAGACAAAATGATTGAGAGAAAATAATATCTAACATTTACATGGTCAGAAGTATCAAAGGAATAATATGTTAGCAGGATTTGACTAGAGTGTCTTAAGAAAGAAACTCAAGTCATAAGTTCTGAATTGAAATCTGAGTGTTAAAGTTATACACAGCAGGGATATATAAGTGTATATTTATTTTTATTATGGAAAATTTCAAGCATAGAAAAGTAGAGAATGTCTGATGAGCAGAGAATATTTTATAACAAATTTCTATATTGCTGTATCTTTTAACCAGCTTCAAGTATGATTAATCTGTGGCTAATCTTATTTCATTTATATCCCTACCTACTTTCCTTCATCCTTACAGTGGTAAATTCTAAACATCGTTTCATTTCATTCATAAATTTTTTTCGACATATATTTTAAAGTAATCAAATTTTAAAAGTCTTTCCATGTAAAACTAAGAAAATTGGTAAATAAATCTTTACCCGTGTGTGTTTCTGTGATCTTGACTCCTTAATTTGCCTTGACATTTTTGATTCATGCATACTTTTTTGACCCGAACTGGTCTTTGTAGCAAGTTTTGGAGTTTCACAGCTGGGAACTGGAACCAATGGACAAGTCATTGGTAAGGATCGCTTTGTTTGTGGCTTTCTGGATGTCACGTGATGACGATGGTGATTACTATTGCCACTTGTTTGAGAAAGAAGAGACTCTGAACTTTCAGATTTCACAAGTCTACGGTAGGGGGAAAAATGAAGAATGCAGATTAAGTGAATCAACATCAAAGTCAATTTTCTGTCTTAAACGTTACAACTATATCCATTACAATATAAATTCAAGAAAAGCAAACAAATTTATTGTTGTTACTGCCTTAAGTCAACAATCAACATCATATTATAAAGTTGTTCCTTAGTTCTTTAGATGAGTAACTAAGACATAGAAAATAAAATGAATAGACAGTAGGATTTTGGCTAATAGAGAAAGCAACAAACAATATTGCTGTACTCTCCCCTAGCTCTCCAATTTACAATTTATCAAATAAATCAGCTCTGCATGCTGAGAGTGCTACTATTTACAGATTTAATACTAACCTGTTAATACTTATACTTTTCTGTTAAGATAATTTAAACAGACACACCACAACCTGTATCTTATTATGCCCATGGAACTGCCTTGCAAAATAAATAATAGTGTTAAAACAAATACAAATAAACTATAAAATTGGCTCATACTTCAATCTTCCTAAAACCCTTACATTTGCTTCCGACAAGACCCAAATTTTTCCCTTTACAAGACAGGGTCTTATAGGCCTCAATTCTGCTGACCCAGAGATCACAGTGTAGTTTCCTTTTAGGAACAAAAATGTTATTAGCCGCAAGTCAGAAATAAGAAACACGGCTATAAATATAGTACCCAAAATGTTACTGTTTGAGTTTTATCAGGTATAAAAAGTGCCATGACTTTATAAAGTCCTCAGAGAAATGACTGTGTCCTTCCATATCAGGAGAAGAGTATTCTGATTTTTTTAACTATTCAAAAAAAATCTAAAAGTTTTATTTTCATATGGTTCATACTTTTTGCAAGGTTTAAATAGAGTAAGAATTAAAGTCCTGCTTTAGATGCCAAGAACCCAAAATTGACAAAGGTTCTAAAGATAACATAAATTCAATAGAAATTAGTGTTCACTATATGAACTTCTAACTTCTGATCAAGTATTTGGACATTCTATTTAGTTAGCAAAAAAACGTATCCAGGAAAGTTTCAGATAATATATCACTATGTAGAGTTTAAAGCTATATTTTATATGCAACAGGTGTTTTAAAAATGGTACCTCATGGAATTTCTTGCTCAAAGGACCAATGCAGGAGGAGACTGAGGGGAAAGGGAAGGAAGAGCTAACAGGAGAATTCTCACCCCCGAATAGTCTCTTCAACAGAGCAGCTCAGGAGCTTAATCTATGGGGTGAAATCTTCACTCTTCCATGGCTTAAAAACTTTACAATCCACTGTGCTAATGGACTGTATATTAGCATATAAAGCAGGAAACTGTGTTTTTCCCCCAAGTCATTTCTTTTTATAATTTACAAGCAAAGTCATCAACTGCTCATAATAAACTTTCTGCCATAAAGAAATTAATCTGAAAGACTAATATAAAATAAAATAAAAATCGTCTAGAGACTAAATTACTTTCTGTCCAGATACTATTTATGTTCATTTAATACATCACCTTTTTCTGGGATAAAGGCAATTCAGATCTTTAGATCTCCGTTTCAATCGGGATACTTCAGTTCGAAGTTCACTTTGTAAAAGTTCTCCATCAGGGACACTTCCAGGCTCTGACAAAACTGCAGGAGATGGAAGAGGGCTCAACACAGTAGGTACTGGATAACTTTCTCTGGTGCAGGTAGTTTGAGTTTCATAACGAATAAGACGAGATTGAAGTTCAGAAAATCCTCCATCTCTTTCCAAAGCTTTTCGGTCATCCAAGCAATATCTAAAATGAATGAAAGAGCATTAAAATGTAAACCTCCATGAGAGCAACAGACTTTTGCCCTTTAATTAGAAAATAGCAGGACATTTACTTTAAGAGATCTTGTTTAATTTCCTAATAATCACTGGAAGGTTGAGTGACTGGACTATTTCCCTCCCAAGGTCAGTTTTCTTCTAGTTTGCTATATGACATCGCAAAAGATTAAAAAATGTGAAGTACAATCTGATTTCTCTTTGACTTGTGTTTCAGGGCAACAGATTAAGTTAATCCTTTAGCTTATTTTCAAAATAATACAGTTGCTGTTTTAATACTTTTTAAAACTCTACCAACCTCTGATTTCTCAGCATGGCTGATATTATGACAACATGAAATGCTGACTTCTGTTAGAAAGGGCAAGTTTATTCTCAACACAAAGATTAAAAGGGTATAAAGGCCTTCTAAACTGGCTCACCAAACAGCTTAGAACATTTTGAATTTTTTCTTTGAAACTCAGTTCCCACCTTATTAACTGACTGACAAATTTTCCTTCAAACGCTTCAGCTGTCTGTGCATCTGGTTTCTAGCTGAACCTGACTCAAGGAATCAATGAAATGTTAGCCTAGAGAACGCTTCTAGATTCAAAGAAACCTCGGTTGTTAAGTACAACAAACAAGCATATCAAGAAGATCACCTAGGAGCTGTGTGACCTTGGAAAACTTCAATTTCTCCCCTTTCTACAACTGCATTAAGAAAACACAAATGGCTTCACATATGTGATGATAGCACTGTATAAATGAAAACCTTTCTCTGTTAGCTGCCATTTTTACCTGTAAAATTCTAAGATACTGCTTAAAATCAGATTTTTTTATCCAAAAGCTTTTAGTTCAATTCCCAAGGAGTATATCATTTCCTGAACATCTGACTGCCTGATGGAGGTTTTAAGAACCTTATCTTTCCCTTGTGACACTTACGTATTTGCTACAGACTTATGGAGTCAGACTCCGGATTTAAATCCAGGCTCCTGTACTGATTACTGTGTGAACTTGGCTAAATTACTTAACTTTATCTATGATTCTGTTGCTTCATCTGCAAAATGAGAATTATAGTACTTATCTGAAAAAGCTATTGTGACAATTCTTTGAATTGTACACATAAACACTTCGAATCGGTTCCTGAAATATGCAAGCAGAACAGTCAAGAAATGCATGTTACAATTATTGTTATCGTCTTATTTTCTATCACAGTAAAGTTGGCAGTAGGCTGATAATACGTAGCACAGCCAGAATGTAAACCCAGATTGGTGACTTCAGAGCCTGACTTTAACCATTTTAGTATTTCTCTCCGTGCAAAGTGCAAGAATCATCTTACTCAGTGTTCAACACATGGCTGAGCATTGGAACAATTTGAAGAGCTTTTAAGAAGTACTACATGCTCAGTGTTTCTGTTTTAATTGGTCTAGGGAAATACCTAGTCATTGACAGTTTTAAAAATCTGCCTGGGTGATTCTAAAAAACAAAACAAACAAAAACTACTTAAATCCATAGAAACAGAGTAGAATAGTGGTTATAGGGTGGGGAAGGTTATGGGAAGCTGTAGATTAAAGGGTATAAAGTTACAGAGTTATGTAGGATGAATAAATCTAGAAATCTAATACACAGTATAAGGACTATAGTTAACAATATGTACTGTATATTGAAAATTTGCTAAGAGAGTAGGCTTTAGGTGCTCTTGGCATGCAAAACAAGAGGTAACTATGTGAGATACTGGGTATGTTAATTTGATTGGCTACAGTGATCATTTCACTATGCATACATATATCAAATCATCTTATTATATGCCTTAAAAATATATAATTTTTAAAAAGCCTACCTAGATGATTCTAAAGTATAGCTAGGACTGAAAAATCTCTGATCTACTCTGACAGTCTAATTTAACAGGTGACAAAACTGAACTCTAAATCTGAATGTGAGTTGGTGGCAGAGCAGGGAGTAGAACCTAGGTCTCTGGCATCTCTCTAGCTAGTATTTTTTCTTTATTCTGTTGTTTAATAAATATATTTCATTAAAAATCAGAAGCAAATGATGAGTCCTACTTCTAACATAGGTAATTGGTAGAATCTGGAGTAAAATTAGAAGCATGAATTTCAAGAGTTCATGCAAGAGCCAATATAATGCCTGACGAGCTTGAATACAGAAAATTTTTGAGAGAAACGATGAATATTTTGATTCTAAGATGAATATTTCTTTCTACCCTAAGATTTTATTTCTAAGATGCAGATTATTTTCTTCCAGTTTTAAAATCTCTTGATCACAGCTGTTCATAATGTCATAGCTTCAACTGAATTATGCACCCTGTACATGTTGATGTTAATTGCCATTTAAAATGTCTTTAAAATGATTATACTATGATTTGCCATTGGAAAAAAAATTTACTTTGTAAATTAGATAAAAGAAAGAGAGGCAGGGTGTATACTTGACATTAGTGACGTAAAAATGCATTGCTGGCTGAATGACTACAATTCCATATTTTCTTATAAAACAATAAGCAAATGCTTTATGGGTCCTAACAAAGAAAAAACCCCATAAGACAGCGAAGCTGTTTTTGTTTTGTAAATACGAAATAGACAAAATACTGCCTATACCAACGAAGGAAGGAGAAACTGCCAAATCTCTTAGAATAGATGAAGGAAATTTCAGAGCAATGAGAGGCTGGTGTGATCGAATGATTGTCAGAGTACGACAGCAGAGTTTAATTTGCTGCTTAATACAACAGTGCATTTCACAATTAATGGCCTCTTAAATTCCAGAATAGGGTAAATAAGTGAAAAAACAAACAAGCCAACAGTGGTTATATTTCATTTGCCTTAAGAAACATTGTTTTGCTGCCAAGCAATTAATATAGCTTTTCCAAATATTCCTTTTTATCAGAGAAAGAGGTCCAGAGTTCTAAGGGCCCACAACAACGTAAGAAGAGAACTTTCTTTGTAGTTTCATATTTACTTTAAAATGTTACTTGAATTTGTTTCTACTCCATAATCTATGTTGAACATAAATAGGCTCTCACACTATACACCTAAATCTTCTTGAAAAAAACATGTTTCTGAATTCATGGTGCTCACCTCCTACAACTTTGTCAGCTCAGTCTCAATGTCCTCAGTTTAATGAGCATAAATTTACAGGAAAGAAAAGTGAGTCACAGATAGATTTGTTTATGGGAGTAGGTAGGTAGTAGAGAATTAATTTTTATAGTGAATCAGAATTTCATAACATTATATGTGTATAAGTTAATAAAACTCTGTGTAGATTTAAGCCCATCAGGACACAGTAGTCAAATAAGTCTTAATTTAATATTTTGATAAATAATCATGAAGAACATATCCTTGATAAATTTTATAAATTTGTATGCATTATTAAAATTTTTCCATAGTAAATTAAAAACAGCAGGAAAAAAAGAGTAGAGAGATAGAGACTCACAATAAATAAAATAAAATTAAAATTTTGGAAAAATAATCTAAATAGGATTATATGATAGACACTTTAGCCAGCAATTCAAATGTAATTATTGTAGCTTATTTTATTCAAATCAGTGTTTCAGTGTGTTTATAGGATTGAAGAGGTGAAAAACAGATGTGTCCTGGGGTCTTCTGGCCATGTAGCTAAGCAAATGTTAATACTAGTACATTTTCTCAACAGTGAACACTATTTTTCATAATAATAATATAAACACTGTTTACTGGTTTCAATTTTCACATTCAAATTAAATGCAAAATACCTAAAATTTTTAATTAGATTCCTTTAATAGATTAGAAGGCCCTAAAATTTTTATCAAACTAAGTGGGGGAGCTATTGCTGTATAGCTAATGGAATAAGGAAGTGAAGTTTAACTATACACATTTAAAAACATGAAAGTAAATAGCAGAGAGCTCAAATTAAGAAGAAGAATCACATCATTTTTCAGAATCAATATTTTATATTGAGACACTTAAAAATATTGACAGAAGGATATTTTTTAAAATGAGAGATAGTTATCAGGTAAACTAAACCAAACAAATAAATATATATATATATATTTTCTAAAAGCTGGGGCTGTAGGTAGGTAGTAATAAGGAAAGGAATTGATTTTCATTCTAAGTTTTCTGTAATGTTTAATTTCTAGGTTTTTAATAAAATCAAAAGGGGGGACATAAAACTAAATCCTATTAATGAAATATTTACATAGTAGAACAAGATGTTCCCATTTAAATTTAATAAACCTAGTATAAATGAAAAGTAAAATTTTGGGCTGGATGCCGTGGCTCACGCCTGTTCCCAGCACTTTGTGAAGAAGCCGAGGCAGGTAGATCACTTGAGGCTAGGAGTTCAAGACCACCTAGCCAACACGGCTAAACCCTGTCTCTACCAAAAATACAAAAATTAGCCAGGCATGGTGGTACATGCCTGTAATCCTAGCTACTTGGAAGCCTGAGGCATGAGAATCACTTGAACCTGGGAGATGGAGGTTGCACTGAGCCAAGATTGTGCCACTGCACTACAGTCTGGGTGAAAAAGTGAGAGAAACGTAAAATTTTGTAATCAATGCCCAAAAGGGTGTATGGCTAAAAATATGGTTTAAGTAAAAGCTTCAGCTAAATTTAAGGCTATTTGGGAAACATCTCTACCCTTTTTATGTTAAAGGGAGAACAATAATCCTCTCAAACAAGGAATCCTTTAATCAAATACCAGAAATAAAAAGATGGATCAGGTGGCCTTTTTTAGCTTTTTACAATTCAATAGTTATCTCTGAGTTACCTCTCCGTTGTTCACAAAACATTTTAAAATTCTTATGTTGCCATTTAGATTCAAATTAGCATTTCATACAGGACTTCTTTTAGAAATAATTCATTACTGAATGTTACACTTCATGTTGCTCATTTCAAAGTTCTCAAATTCTTTTTTTATTTTGGGACAAGGTCTCATTCTGTCACCTGGCTGGCGTGCAATGGCATGATCATGGCTTACTGCAACCTCAACCTCCCAATATCAATCGATCCTCCTGCCTCAGCATCCTGAGTAGCTAGGACTACACATGCAAGTCACTATGCCCAGCTAATTTTTGTACTTTTTTGTAGAGATGGGGTTTCACTATGTTGCCCAGGCTGGTCTCAAACTCCCGGGCTCAAGCGATCCACTTGCCTTGGCTTCCCAAAGTGCTGAGATTACAGGCATTAGCCACAGTGCCTGGCCTCAAATTCTTATTTCAACTGCTTTTCCACACAGACAGATATTTAATGTTGTTTCATGTATCAACCTTTCCTTCCTTGTTATAATTAAATAGTATTGCTTTATATAAATATACCATAGATTATTTATCTATTTTCCTATTGATATATTCCTAGGCTCTTTCCAGTTTGGGGATATTGAGAATTAAACTATTATGTGCATACTTGTGTAAGTCTTTCTCTCAGAAAAATATCTAGTATTGAAATGCTGGGCCCTATCTAACAATTTCTGAGCAACTATAATGTAATTGGTGACCAGGAAAACATTAATGTGACCCACAGTGTAAATATATATTTATAACATAGGGGCCAAAACAATTTTGATATAAAAAATATCTAGTAATTCATAATAGGATGTTTAAATGCTGTTGAACTGATTAATCATCAAATAACTTCTTCAACAGAAGACAAATTACTTTTGTATGCAATGCTCTGCTTTTTGAGGTTTTTGACATACTCTTTTGGCCTCTGTCTCAATTTATATCATTATATTAAAGTCACTCTTCACACAACTGAGGCTGTGTCAACAATATACAGAATAGTAAAGTATAAATAAAAACTTACTCAATTCCATGATAATGACATCCTGAGGCTTTCTCAAAAGGTAAGGCCTGAAGTTTCCCAGGACTGAGTTCTGGTGTCAGAATAAAAGTCTTTTCCCTGAAACAAAAAGTTTTTCATTTGTATTCAAAGTTTATTTCGTGACAAAGAGAAAGTTAAAGAAAGTACCTAATAAAACAAATCTGACTTTTTCCTCTACAGTTGAATTTTATATGGGATAAAGGTTAAGCAACATCAGAAAGTATAAGAAGGAAATGAAGCAAGGTTAGGCCTTGGCTTTCGTCACTTACATTTTCTGCACCTCAAGTAAGTTATGATGTTATTTATTGCACAAAACTATTCTGAGAAATGGGTAAAACAAAAATGGAATATGATTTATGATGGCAATTCAAGAAGCAGTATTATTTCTTTTCTTCTTTTTTTTTTTTTTTTTTGAGATGGAGCCTCACCCTGTTGCCCAGGCTGGCATGCAGTGGCGTGATCTCAGCTCACTGCAACTTCTGCCTTCCTGGTTCAAGCAATTCTCCTGCCTCAGCCTCCTGAGTAGCTGGGATTACAGGCACCTGCTACCCTGCCCGGCTAATTTTTGCATTTTTAGTAGAAACAGGGTTTCACCATATTGGCCAGGCTGGTCTCAAATTCCTGACCTCAAGTGATCTGCCAGCCTCGGCCTCCCAAAGTGTTGGGATTACAGGCATGAGCCACCACACCCAGCCAAGAAGCAGCATTATTTCTAAAAGATGTTTTTTCCTTGGTAGAATAAACTAATGTTTAGGCATTTAGTTAATCCTTTTTTTTCAAGGGAATAATTAAAGTGAACTTGAATATTTGGTAAAGATAAAATAATTTACTTCCTGCTATAACACATGTGGGACCCAGATCTTTCTTTGCCTGAGAATGTAGTCATTGACACCTACTTTAAGAGTCAGCAACTTTTTAACTTTCAGAGGATATAGAGGCTAACTGCTGATTTCAGTTCTTTTTCTGAAGTAGGTTTTCAATCAACTGGCATGTTAGAACTAATCATGTCAAGTTTACATAAAATATTCATGCTCCAGCCTTTCCACACCTAGAACTACAGAGATATATCAAAATCTGGAAAAGAAGAGGTCACTGCAATTAGATTAAGCTCTTTGGGTTATTCTGATAGGGGTCATTCTTCTCTGAAGGAAAGGAAACCACTGTTGTAATATAATGAGTCATGGTCCTAAAGCTTGTTAGATGGAATGGGGAAATTATGCAACAGTGGTTTTTAAATAGTTAATAGGTAAAATGAAATACCAGGGGCTTGAGTTCAGAAGAGTTGGAAATAATATGTAGAATGGCAAGTAAATAGTAGAGTACTAAGAATAAATTTGCTATCACATTTTCCCACCTATGGTAATAAAAACTGTCTTGCCACTGAAAATTATCTAGGATACTATGATAAGCATTTGAAATCATTACATTAAAATGTAAGATTCATGCCAACTAATGAATCCTAAAAAACAGACGTTACATTCAAATGCATCCATTTAAAATATTCCACAAAAGGTAACACTAGTAAATTACAATAGCCCCAGTATTTCGATGATTATTAAAATAAATAATTTTGTAAAATGGAAATCTTTAAGTAGCAGTTCACTTCTTTCCTTTACTATGCTGTCTCTCATTTCTCATATCAGTCGCCCCCAGCAACTTAACCTATTTTTGTGTAATTTCACTCACAACTTGTTCTTTCTAAAATAAACATTTTGATAAATACGTGTTTTGTCAGTGTTCATTATTTCCTTGGTATATACATAGGAGTCATGTTTGTACTCTGTTTAACACAGGATTTTGGATGGCTTCTTACGCAGGTCATGAAAACTCATCCTTCAACTCTAATGCTAACAGGAGATACATTTGATAGCAATGCAGTTCTTTACTAACGTTGAAGAATCACATCAAATTTTCCTAAATAAATCACCTACAACTAGTTTCCAGAAAGAACTAACTTTACCTCTTCTACAATGCACCTAGAAAGACATTCTGTCAAAAACAGTACAACTTACATAATTCAGTTTTGGCAAACTGACTGTCAGTTTCTGCTTAATGATTTAAAAGGACAGTAGTCCAATAACCAAATAAATGAAAACATATACTTCTTTACTTTCTCGATTCCCACAACAAAAGATTATCAATCTTTCCAAGTTATGAGAAAAAAAATTACTCCAAAATTATATAAATTTTATGTCATTAAAAGCATTATGTCATTAAGACTCTCAGGTTTTCAAAGTTCCTCTTGAACATGCACATAAAGGCAACAATGTTCCAGAAATATTTCTGAGATATAGCTGCCTTTGAATAACTCCTTTCTGAAATTCACCTTTAAAGTCAATATGTATCACAGTGTAATTCAAATCAAGCTTATAAAAGTGATCAAAGTGAGCTACAATTTTTAAGGTCTTTTGGAAGGTTTTCAAAATAATGAATTAACAATTAAAAAGACATTGGAGTAATGAGTAAATTATTCCGCTCTCACGAGTATTTGATGTCACAATTTTATGGGCAATTTTGTCAATGCCAGCAATATGCAGCATTTATTAACTAGTAACTTAGTGGAAATTGTCTTGGAAGTCAAATTAGTTGTAAATTATTCACTGAGACACTGAATTCTTACTTGGCAATGTCATAGTTCAAAAGCATTTTTATTACACTTTCCTGTTCTTCAGTTGAAAGGCTATGCTTTTTGCTACTATTAGGCATGCCTGGCGATGCTCATGCCAAGTAGTGGCCAGTATCAAAACTAGAGTAACACAGAAAAGAGAATTAAAAAAAAAATTTGTAAGTCAAATTCAAATTTTTTATTAGAAAGTATTATCCTTTGCATACCAAATAGAAGCCACTGACTTCTAGAGGGAATATGCTGAGTTTGCTTTTCTTATTCCTGTTTCTCTTATTTTCAATGCCACAAAACAGTAGGATATTTGGGTACCATAAAAAGTGAAGATTAAGGCCAACAGACAAACATTGACATCAAACTTATAAATTTTCCCTGAGTAGTATAGGGCATCAATAACTAAGGAAATGAGACACGATTTTATTTCAAAGTAATTCTTAAAAAGTTAATTGGAAATTATAAGTTTCTAACCTACCCCTTTTGAATCGGTAAAGGTTGAAGATCTCCAACGGGTAATCCATCTGAGGTAAAGTACTTCAGCAATTCTTTAGCATCCAATAATGTGATTGAGTCCCGAGGAACCTCTTTGTGGCCGAGCAACTGTTCAGATGAATGAGGTAATGAACCAGTTCTGGGAAAATAATGTTATGCAGATTTATTAAAAGTGGAGTCAATACAGAGAAAAGTCAGAGTCAAAAAGAAAAAGGTAAATTTGAATTCACCGTAGTCAGGAAAAGGGGATATGAGCAGAAACGAGAAAAATATACCAAGAACACTGGAGAATTAAACATTTAGAAAAGACAATAAAGTAAAATATTAGCAAATCATTTAGTTTCTAACCATATTTTTAAAAATCTTTAGGTCACAATAAAACTTGCAGTTATCATGTCAACAAGTAGTATTTTAACTACTTAAAATAAATATAATTACATTATCTATGAATGATGGCCTATTATTCAGTGGTGTGAAGTTACCAATTCTATATAATTTAAAGCTAAATTCTCTTATATGTTCTGAAATCCCACAGTACTTTAAATTTTTGATGGAAGAGACTGAATGTTCCAATTTTCCATGAACTTGAAAGATTACTTGAAACACAACCATGAAATGAGACAATACTCGGAAATCTCCCCAAAGTCTCTTGTAGCCATGATTATGACATTATGAATAAGCACTGAATCATTATTATATACCTGAAATACATGCGGGACTTTGTGTTTTTCAAACTACTTTACATATAATATATTCTTAATCCTCAAAAATTCCTTTGAAAAAGATGGAATAGGTCTTATCTCAAAATGAAAAAATAACTAAAAATAAGTACTTTGTAAAGTGAAAATCAGCATGCCAAACTTAAAAAGCAATCATTATTCCTACTTTTCAAATAAAGATGAAAATATACAAAAGGTTATATTGCAGACCCAGGGTGTTACAGCTATTTAAAATGATAGAACTAGACTAACTCCAAATTAGTTACTATTTCTACTCTATCACTCTGTAAATAAGAAAAACTCACAGAAAGTTTTAAATACTGGAAAGTGAAAAACGACATAGCTTCAGTTAGATGTTTCCAGTTAGAGGTTTCACTATGCACTGAATCACAGATCACCACAGCTCTGTTACCATAGCATAAATAAAATATTTCAATATCTGCACAGAAAATTGATTTCCCAACTTTGTTAATCCAACTGTTTCCTGATTATTTTATCACTGAAATTAAGCATTTTTACTGATATTTACATGATTAAAATGTTGACATTATAGTTTTAAACATATTTCTATACATTAAAGATCAATAATATACTGACAGTGCCTCTTTCCTTTTCCTATTCCTTTGTTTTGAAACGGAAAATGTTAATCTAATAAAAATAGTCAACAAAACACACACATTTTCTCTGGACTTCATACTCTAGCAGGGTAGGAGCTATACAATGATTTTAATTTGTAAAGGTACAGAACCATGTTCCTTTCTCAGTGTCAGTGGTGATGGCCCAGAATAAAGCTCCCCGCAATTTAGTGCTGGGTGAAGCACCAATGCTTCTTGCCTGCTGATACCCTAAAGTATGCCCTAACGTGAAGCCTAGCAAACATGCTCCACCCCAGATCTCACTTCTAACATTAATATAAGTGAGAGACATGGGGAATAGGACTACACATATGGGGAAAAAAAATACATGCCAACTACCTATAGAAAGCAACATGGCCCTAAATTCTTAGTTATAAACAGAAAATCAAGGACCACCAGACACTGGAGAAAAATTATACATAAGAGAAAAAAAACACCAGAAGAACAAATAAAACAGCTGCAAATGAAAATAAGGCAATTCAAGAAACAGATAAAACAAGTTTAACGAAAATTCTAATTAATATCCTTATAGTATCACCTCAAGTCTCATTATTAATAAAAGAATAATTGCTAGAAAAAATATGGCAGAACAAGAGAAAATTATTAGAAATTTAAAATATGACTATCAAAATTTTTAACAGAAAAGATGAAAACAAAGGTAAAGGAAATACCCCAGAACATACAGCAGAAAAGTTAAAGAGTATAAAGAAAAAAATCAAATTAAAAAAAATCCAGAATGTTTTATATTAATTAAAACAGGTATTTCAGAGAGAAAAGAAAATGAAGGGAAGAATAGTATTGAAGAAATAATAAGATATGTCTCAGAGTCAAAAAGGACAAAAGACTTGAATCTAAAACCTCTCATACCATGGCCTCTTGTAATTTCTAAACATTATGGAAAACAGAAAATTGCAAAAGTTTTAGAGACAAAATAAAATACCTATTAAGGAATAAAAATCAATCTGGCATCAGACTTCTCTTTAAGATATGAAATCCAAGAAAATACAGAACTAATCTAAAATATAATCAAAAGAAATACCAGGGTAACAAATATGCAGGTAGAGTTGGTCAAATTAGAGTAGGAACTCAGAGAGAAGAAAAATAAAATTAAGAACTGTCTATTGCATAAGGTTTAGAGATAGAAGATAAAAAGGGAAGAAAAATAGGGGTGTTAATTACTCATCTTTCCCAGTGGGAAGTTATAAGATATCATTTAAAACTGGTAGGCAAGAAATTGAGGTTTACTGGTGGGTATACTGTTCTTTTCTCACTCTTCTTTCTTGTCTTCTTCAAACACCAGGGATTCTTGAGGAGTGGTCTTATCCTCCATTTCTTTTCTCCTCATGGTCTCACCATGTGACTCATCAACCATCATGTTTGGAAACCCCTACTGATGATAACTCCAAATTGAGTTCGATATTCCCACAGTCCACTTGTTATTTCCACTTGGATAATTCATAGATCAAACATACCATCCCTAAAGAAGCATTCTTGATTTTTTTTCCCCAAAACTGTCTCACTCCATTTCCACCCATCTATCCCAGAAGAACATCACTCACTTGATTGAAGCCAGAAATCTAAATGAACTTCAATGTTTTCTTTCCTTCTCTTTCACATCTAATGCATCATAAGAAGCTCTTCACTAGCTTACCACCAACATATCACCCAAATTTGTTCCCACTACTACTGCTCTAATTTGAGATCGCCATCATCTCTCATTTAGCTTACAGAAAAGGCCACCTAACTGATCTTTCTCCTCTAATCTGTCCCTCCGGCCATTTATTTGCCGCAAGAAAGCAAAATTTTCACAAAATCATATCCCATCACTCTTTCATATGAAATCCTTCCACCAATGCACTTACAATGAAATCCAAACTCTGCAGGAGGACATATTTGGTCCTGTGTGACTGAATGTACTTCACCCATTTATTCATTAGGTCTCAGCTCAAATGTAACCTCCTCTAAGAGGTCCCCCTGACCATCCACCTCATTTAAGTGAGTACTGCTACTTGCTTCCCCACAACAAATAAAATTATTCTCCCCTAGTCTTTTTATTTCATTCACTACACACAGAGTAATTTACAATTACTATATTTACTTGTCTGGTTACTTGTTTTGATTGCTTCTCTCATTAAAAGGTTAAGCTCTAGATGAGAAGGGCAGTGCACAGCTTGCTCTTCCTCATCTTCCCAGCGCCCACCACATAGTTGGTACTCAGTAAATGTCTGTTTCATGTGTATGAAACAAAGTTATAGCAAGTATTAAAATACTATCCATGGAGGAGCTAAAACTAAAAATGTGATTTGTAATGTTTGAGGGAAAAGTAATGTAAGAAACCTTAACTTCTCTTTTATTCCATCATTCAACAGTTATGTATTGAGGACCTACTATGTACCAAACAAAAATAACAAAAACAAAGCAAAACAAAAATTCCACCTCCTACAGTTCAATAATAGGTGCTATATAAACATATTTGAATGTAAAATAGGGAGAGATCAAAGTGGTTCAAATGAGGTGAGTACTTCTACTTGGTTTTACATGTTCTTGTAGTAAGATTTTCTTATATCTTCATATACTATTTTATGTCTATGGGCTATGGTCTGGAAGGCTATACACCAAAATGTTCACTGTGATTACACAGACCTAGAAGGCACAAGTGCAGGTCAGACAAAGATAAGCATTTCTTTCCCTTTTTAATTAATATACTACTCTACTGATTAACTATTTACAGTAAGTATTTCTTTTATAATAAAACTATAAACTGCTTATATCTCATAAACATAATTTATTTTAAAAAAGAGTTCACTGAAACTACTGAGCTATCACATGCTTTACTACAGATTCAAATATTACCTCATTTTTTGCTTAGCTTTTTCAAAAGTTTCCAAATTTTGAAGAACATGCCTTTCTGGCCATTCCAGAGGATTGGTTTCTGTTTGACTTGAGGAATTAGGTTCCACTGGACTAAAATCTAAAGGGAAAGAAGTACACATAAGTCTGAAAAGTATTAACATCCTGAATTTTGCTAATAAAAATGTGTATTTATAGACACATACATACGTGTGTGTCTGTGTCTATAAAGGCATACTTACCTTAGGCATTTATTAAAGACCTCTCTGATGGCCTAACCTGTGCAAAACGCCATAGAAATGTTTGTTGGAAATAAAAATAAAATATCACCGCATAATAGAAGTTACAAGCTAGAATCCACAAAACTGAATTAGCATTATTTAGGACTCCTATGGAATAAAAACATAGCTTTGCTGTTTTGGGTGAAAACAGTTCTATTTTTTATTTTTTATAATTTTCATGACTTTGAGTTTTAAGATGTGGAAAACAGTTTGAAATGAAAAGAAGGCAACTCTGTAGAGAATATATTGGATATTCTGCGTGATTTTCATACTAAAATAGGAAGTAGCACAAGTAGACAAAAAATTACATCTTTTAAAAACAGATTACCTTGTTCTCAAAGCTACAATAACAAGATAATAAATAAGTTATCATGTTCTGATGTTCTCTCTGAGAAACCAAGATCTTTAAACATACACACCTTTGAATCACTAACATTCAATGTTGTTTTCTACAAATAAAATATTATGTGTAAAAGTGTTTTTATCTTTCTAGACAACATGCTGTAGTAAACTAATATTGAGATTGCTGATGATATTGGGATTTTCAACAAAAACCTAAAGGGACAGTTTCTATTCTTATTAGAAATTATTATTAATAGTATTAATATATTCAAACTGTTTTAACACTGGCAAAATTACTAACTGTGCTACTTTTTGGATTGCAAAACTATCTGGTTTTAGAAATGTTTTAGACACGTTTTAATAAACTGATTGAAAATTATTGAACATTAGCTATTTGACTATCAACATTCGAACAAATGTACTCATTTTATATTTTTGAGAGGTCTTAGAAAATAATGATTTGGTAAAGAAATTTTATTTATTTATTTATTTTTCCCAGATACAAGAGTCTCACTCTGTCGCCCAGGCTGGAGAGCAGCGGCATGATCCCAACTCACTACAACCTCTGCCTCCTGGGTTCAAGCAGTTCTCCTGGGATTACAGATATGTGCCACCATGACCAGCTAATTTTTGTATTTTTAGTAGAGACAAGGTTTTGCCATGTTGGCCAGGCTGGTCTCGAACTTCTGACCTCAAGTGATCCATCCACCTTGGCCTCCCAAAGTGCTGGGATTATAGGCGTGAGCCACCATGCCCAGCCTGGTAAGGAATTTTTAAACAAGAAACATAAATGAAAATGAATGCAAACTGTATCTTATTTTTCCTTCTACTTATTAAACTATTTAACCTTGAATAGTTTAAAATATTTTCAATACCTATATTGAATTGCCCTCTCTAAACATCATCCAAATACAACACTTCCCATTTTTTAGTAGAGGTGGTAAAATACTATTTTAAAGAGTGATAAGCTTTATAATCAAATAACATGCTTCTGAATGGTCATGTGGCTTTCCACTAAAAGTATAAAAAAAGTCATTTACAGTTCTGCACAGCTTCATGCTATGAGTTCATAAAAGAATATAACCAATCTTAAATAACAGTAAACATTAAATGGTTCCTAAATATTACCATGTAATTAACTACTAATTGTACAACCTAAAAAATAAATTACATAGGCCAAATATTAAGAAATAGGTGGGAAAACATTCATATGTGTTATGTCTTTTGTAGAATCATTTAATACAATTCTTACAATAAAATAAAACACAATATTTCATTTATGTGGCAGTCAAAACACTGGGCTATGCTGAGAGCCAAAAAGCACAAAGGCTCTCTGAGAAACCAAGAACAGTTCTTTAAAAAGAAAAAATCATTTTATAGGAGAAACAGAAATAGAACAATAGAACTAACATAATAGGGAGAACAGGAAAAACTGACCCATAAAATCAAAATCACAGCAAACAAAAAGAGATGACAATAAGTGGCTAATGAACCGAGGCCATTATAACCTTACATACTTAAATAGGAACAAGTCATAAAGAAATATTATATTGTAAATGAATAAAGCAAGAATTATAAATAAATGCCAGAAGATGTCTTGTAAGTGTGTGAAGTAATAAAATAATGATCTTACAAAGGAAAACTTGTTTATGCAGTGTGTTGATGTGTCCGATGGTCCCATGCAAAGGAGATAGTTACTGTAGTTACTGTATTATGAATTCAGATATCACATTTGACTATGTCAACGTCTTTAGCAACTTTGTGACAATGTGTAAATAAATGGTTATATTAGGCATTTTCTACATACTGACTTGTCATTTGTTACACATGCTAGAGTTTTTACCAAAAAATGAGCAGATTAAATAACTTTATTAATTACCAGTAACTCCTAATGTGTATGCTTGCAAATGAGTCCAAATACGATATCTAATTGACCTTAATGTTTCTTTCATTATGTAACTTACATGTAGATGTATTTATTCAACTCAAAGCTACAAAAGATGTTAAAAATCACAATTTCATTCTTAGGAGTCATGTTCAAATGTATCATCTGTCAGATTTCAGTCCAGGTTCTAAAAATCTTCCAAATTTCTTTCATTTGTTCAACAAATACAAACTTAAAATGTGATCTAATAATATGAAGAAAAATCACAGGGAGAGAGTATAACAGAAAACAGTTGAAACTGGGGAAGGTCTGGGAAAGCCTCTTTGAGAAAGTGACATTTAAATCAAGATCTGAAGAATTATCATCAGGTAATCCGGTAAAGGCTGGGAAAAAAGAATTCCAGGCAGAGGACACTGCATCTATAAAGTTCCTGAGGCAGAAAGAAATGTGACATGTCCGAGGAAAGGAAGGACTTCCTGTGGTAAAAAGGAAACAGAAATGTAGTGGTACTAGAATAAGCACAAAGTCAGATATCATTTAAGGTTTCTACAAACCATATGAAGAATGATGCATTCTATGTGCAATCAGAAGCAATCAAGAAGGTCTGAGCAAAGGAGTGACATAATCTGACTATAGATTGTATCAATCCTTTGCTCAAACCTTTTAGATTTTAAGATGAGCACTACTGCAGCTTAGTGTGTCAAATGTTCTTTGTACAGGTAACTCTAAGAGGTATATCCTTAAACTTATATTAAAAACTTATATAAAAGTCCTAGCAATTATTTAAGCCCTTTCTACCTTTCAACCCTTGTCTCCCGTACAAATCCTTTGGTAAGCCAATCTCTTTCTTGATCTCAGTTTGCCTTTTTGTTTTACTTCCATGACCCTGAATATGGTGCTTCTACCTGGCAAATCTCACCTTCTCCTCTCTATCTACATCTTGTGCATCATTCAAGACCTACATCGACTCCCTTGACTCCTAATCAGCCTTCATGACTATTCTATCCTACCCGTAGTTCTCTCCTCAAAATTTATAGTTAACCAGCACTTACTTTATACCAGGCAACTGTCTAAGCAATTTAATCTTCGTAATAACCTATGTCATCTGTAATTTAAAGATAAAGAAACTGAGGCACAAAGATGTCAGAAAACATGCCCAAGGCCACATTGCAAGTAAGCTACTAGTCTTGCTCCAGATCCCATGCTATAACCATGGAGCCATGGTCTCTCACTTACTGAACACATCCCCCATTTACAAGTAATCTAATAATGTCTCTAGCACCTTTCAGATTACTCTGTATGCTATTTAACTTGGGTACTGACATGCAATGGTGATAATAATGATAATACAAACAACATCTTTTTTGGTACTTGTGTTCTAAGTGTTTTACAGGTATCAACTCATTTGATCCTCATAGTAACCCTACTAATCCTCACAATAATCCTAATAAGTGGGCTATATTATTATTCCCATTTTAAACAGGAGGTAACAGGTGGAGTTGAATCATTTTGCCTAAAGACATTTAGCTAGCAAGTAACAAAAGTGAGATATGAACCTTGACAGTTTAGCTCCACGGCCTGTGTCCTCAAATAAGGTTATTCAAATTCTTCACAACGCTAGAACTCAGGAAAGCAGAAAGAAATACAACTAAATATTGAAATGATTTCCAGCTGTCTCCGTGAAGTTTGACTGTTCCTGCCCTAACGAATGTTAAATGTGCATCATCTTATCATATGTACCTTTACCTCTGGTAAATTTACTATGCAGATTTTCCTTTCCATATGTGAAAATGTAGCTTAATAGAAATTCACACATTCCAGCAACTTAGTAAGACTAAATAGAGGGATCATCTTAAAATGCTTCTTCCTCTGCCTAAAAACAATTACACTGAACATATTTAATGAAAAAAGTTACTAGAAAGTTTATAATGTTTAAATAATCAGTAATACAGTTCATCACCTATATATACATACTTGCATATGCTTAAGTCTCTAACATTATTTAAATTCGTGAAATACATTTTGATTTGACCAATACATTTTCTAAGTTTTAATAATAAATAACTGTCATAGCTGCCACACACACACACACACACGAAGAACGAAAATTTAAAGTAATAAAAAACTCACCATTTAATATATTGAAGGTTTTTATTTTGTTCATCTTTCTTAGACTCATTTTAGGAATCATAGCATCAAAATAATCTAAAAACTGTTTCCTTGTGAGTACTAACAGACTTTTTAGTTCAGCAACAGAAACTGTTTCAGGCTGCTTTGCCAACTTTCTCCTTTCTAAAAGAAAAATCAATACAATTGACTGTTATTTTTAAGCCTCTTTGGAGCTCATCTATTACTCTTTTGTGGAAAATATCCTCCGAATTAAAATAAGTGAATTTCTCCAGCAAATCAACATTCCTGTTTTCAGGAATGTAGGCCTGCTTTCACTTTAATCCTATTTGTAGGTAATGGGAGAATTTCCAGTTATGTGAGATAAACATAAGTAATCCATTAATACTAAAAGTTGATAAGAGATAAAGGCAGGTTTACAAAAGTCTTCAGAAATATACTGCAGAGCATTAAAATGGTCTTATGCTCATGTTTACGTAGAAATAAAATCTGTTAGACTTTCAGTTAAATACGGTAGCTTGGCCACTTCTGTTTCTTCTTCTCAAAACCTAAAATCACAACAAAGATATAAAAAGGGAGAAAAAAAGAAGGAATGATAAATAATGACATTTTTCAACAAATTTTGGAAGACAAAAATGACAGCAGAGAGGTAATTGAGTCTGCAGAGCAGAGGAAAAGCCACCTTGGCTGCCTGCAGAGAAGCATTACCAAGGAGTGCAGGGTAGCTGGTGGTGAGATGCTGGTCTGAAACAGAACTGGACGTAGCGCAAGCAGTTAGAACTCCAGGTCCTTCCCCCATGCAACCCCCTGTCCCTCATAGCCAGGCAACACTGCTTGCATTTTCTCTTTTTTTGGTATGGAACATCAGGTATACAAAAAGATAGTATTGAGACTGGGGTTAAAACTTAAGAGGTTAAGTAAAAATCTATTCACTGAAAGGTTGGACTCCAAGCCCTAATACCAGAAAGCTAACAGCCACAAATACCCCACTGGAAATATCAGCGGATTCTCCTTTGGTGAAACTGAATCCTGTCAGAGAAAAGAACTCCAGATACCAACACTGGGGTGGAGTTAGGGGTAGACGCTCACAAACAAAATACTGAATTGTCACTCCGCCATACTATGGTGAAGTTTGACAGATATTACGTTAGAAGTAAGCGTACAAAACTACCATTTCAAAATAGGATGGAAAGAAAAGAATCTCCAGGCATTTAAGGAAAGGTATTGAGGGGAGAGGCAGTTCTTTATTTCCCTGCACAAAGATTTGATTCAGTGAACACTTTCAGCTCCCCTCTTCCTTTCCCATCACTCACTGAGCTAGTCATGAACAAGTCACACTCTGATAGATTCTTCCTCTCTGACTTTCATCTGGGTGAGCAAGTCTTCAGCATGTATGTTCTCTGCAGACTTCTGCCACAGGATTGGTCTGCAGTTACCTAGCTCTGACAGCCATTCAGTGGCAAAGTTCAATGCTGGGTGTATGTATGAGAAAGCCAATATGGCCATAGATCTAAAAAGCCATATCCCATAATACAACTTTTTATTTTTCTATTTTTTTTATTTTTGAGATGGTGTCTCGCTCCGACACCAGGGCGCAGTGGCGCCATCTCGGCTCACTGCAACCTCTGCTGCCCGGTTCAAATGATTCTTCCGCCTCAGTCTCCCAAGTAGCTGGGACTACAAGCATACACCACCACGCCTGGCAAATGTTTGTATTTTTTAGTAGAGACGGGTTTTCACCATGTTGGTCAGGATGGTCTCGAACTCCTGACCTCATGATCCTCCTGCCTCGGCCTCCCAACGTGCTGGGATTACAGGCGCGAGCCACTGTGCCCGGCCAGTACAACTTTTATCTATAATTTATCTCCATTTGTATGTTACTTATATTTATTTTTCAGTTGGTTCCAATGTTGGGAAAGAAGTGGGCACTATTCATTGAAAAACCCAAACTAAAAAACATCCAACAGAGAGACTAAGGCAAATAAACAGAAAAAAATAGAGTTCAGCAGAAACAAAAGCACTGTAGAGAACAAAACAAAGTTTGCTATAATTTTCTCATAGATATATGAGAAGACACTGCACCCATGAAACATGTACAGGATGCTTTGATAAAGAAAAAATATCAATGAACAAAAAATGACTCTAAGCACACAGGAAATCAAATTTGAAAAATTCCATAGAAGAGCTGTAAAATAAAATGGAAGATATTCCTCTAAAACTAGAAAAGATAATATGAAACTAGGAAAGGAAATCAGGCATTCGGTCCAGAAAAGTCAGTATCTAACAAGAGCTCCAAAGACAGGGGGAGAGAGAATGGGAGGAAGAAAATTATTAAAAGGACAAAAGAATTTCAGATTTCAAGATATAACTCTTCCATTTAAATGGCCAATCAAGTACACAGTTCATTAAATGGGGCCGGTGGGGAAGAGGGGAAAGAAAAACACAATATGACTGACTCAAAGTAAACCTTCTAGAGATAAAGGTTCTGGAGACAAAAAGTGGGTACAAACCAAGTAAACCAAAATTAGATGACCACAAAGAACAGGAATTGTATTTGACTTCTCAATAGAAACACAGCAAAGTAGAAGACAATGAAGTAGTATCACTGAAATTCTGAGGGGAAATGATTTTCAACCTAGAATTTTATTAGTGAAGTAACTAAATTTTCAGACATGCAAGAACTCGAAAAACTTATGACCCGTGAACTTTTACTCAAAAAAGTGACTGGAAGAAGTGCACCAACTGAACAAAGGAATAATCCAAGAAAAAGGAGGATAAGGGGTCTAGGAAAAAGAACATTCCAAAAGAAGAAAAGTGGAAGGAGAAATCTTCAAGATATTAGCAAGTCTAACAAGCTATCGGTCCACAGTCGAGCAAAATATGAAACACTCCAGGAACGAAATTAATAGAGAAATCAAAAAGAATTGATGTGTCTGAACACACAACGAAAGTTAATGATAGGAGAGCAGAAGAAATGTTGGCATCTCTGGAAAAACATAACAAAGTTTTGTCCATACAGAAGAGCAGGCAAATTAAAAATAAGGTGATTATCAACCATAAGAAAACAAAGAATTACAGAAGAAAAGAGAGATGGAATCATTATCATTTATTACATGGCTCAGCAGCAAACATTTATAAAACTATAATAATGTTAAAGCTAACTACTGATTTAAACAAAATCCATGAGTTCACTGCAAGAGGCAGAAAGAGAAAGTGAAGATTATTTGGGAAAGTGAAGTTTTTATCTTCCATAGTTAGATGTTAAGATAATGCCTGAAACTGGTAAATTAAGAAATAGCAGCATACATACATACATTATTTGAAAAAATGGGAGGAAATGCCAAAGGTTCTCCTGGAAGAGCTGAGGATAGCTGTCTATGAACACTGGGACTGAAAGATGGGGAGGCATGGGTAGCACATTGCTGTTTGCCACTTGAAGCTTTTTCAGTATCATTTGATTTTTCAAACTGGTAAAATGAAACTGGTAAATCAAGAAATAGCAGCATACATACATACATTACTTGGAAAACAAGAGGAAATGCCAGGGGACCTCCTGGAAGAGCTGAGGATAGCTGTCTATGAACACAGGGACTGAAAGATGGGGAAGCATGGGTAGCGCATTGCTGTTGGCCACTTGAAGCTTTTTCAGTATCATTTGATTATCCATGTACTACTTTAATAAAAAATATTCCATCTAAAAACACTTCTAGACTAGTAACATTTTCTTCCACAATAAAATAGTAACCTATAAATTCATAGAGAATTCAATACAACACACATTTATTAATTTTGAGAGTTTACTGCTTAAAAGGCACTACATTGTGTCGTTAAACACAGGATTAAAGCATGATCACATTACACTACATGAGGTCAACACAGAAATAATGCAAGAGAGTAGAATAAGAAGGAGGCAACAGTGTCAAAGTTCTACTTTAGAACATCAGCTTCGTGATACAAGCCTCTGTAAAATCCTACGTCACCAGTGTGGACATTGGTACAGTCCTTCCAGATCTGACCAAGATAACTAACATGGTTTCCACAATCAAGAAAGTAACAGCAAAATGAGAGCTGTAATATACTCTGCTTCGATTACATCCTCTTAGCGAGAAAATCATAAGCCTCACTGTCTTTTTCTGCAGTCTGCTGGGAGCCATTCTAAAGCAAAAAGTTATTGATGGTTTGCTTTTATCTAAAAGATGCACAGACTAAAGTGCTTCAGAAATTAGCCCCTATGTTTTTATTGATGTTAAAAATATACTCAAATTCGAGACCAGCCTGACCAATATGGAGAAACCTCATCTCTCCTAAAAATACAAAAATTAGCCAGGCATGGTGGTATACCTGTAATCCTAGCTACTCAGGAGGCTGAGGCACAGAATTGCTTGAATCAGGAGGTGGATGTTGCAGTAAGCCAAGATTGTGCCACGGCAATCCAGCCTGGACAACAGAGCAAAACTCTGTCTTAAAAAAAAAAAGCATACATATATATGTACACACACACACACACACACACACACACACACACACACACTCACTCAAATCTGAACCTGAACCTGACCTATGCTTATCGAACCTGTCAATTATATTACAATTTGAAGAACAGAGTAAAAATCCATATTGACCTTAATGATTAAGAAATGGAGAGAGAAAATAGATAAAGTTTATGAGTTATGAGCAGGATAATTGGGCAAAACATCATCTCCACACAAGTAAGTCTGCATATAAGTGGCAGATAAATATTTGAGAGAAAATCATTGGACTAAGGTCTAAAAATGAGTCAGCACAAGAATGCTATTTTCCTAAAAAAGCTAGTAATAACTAAGGATTTATTAAAGAAAAATGTAGAAGCAGAACATCCAAAGGAATCAGCAGGTCAAGCATCAGCTTTGCACTGGGTTTTATCAATTTAACAAAGATGTAGGGAGCTCAGAGTCGAGACTGCAATACTGGAGCACAATGATAATACTGCTGCTTTCATACTTATCTTGCATCACGCTGAACAGTCTTTTATTTAAAAATTGTTCAGCACTCTTAAGCTTTTTTGTGAAAAATCAGTGAAATAAGATTTTTAATATTTCCAAATAAAAAAGTTATAAATTACCAACAAATTTGGTAAAGTATAAATCACAAGCATATAAATTTTAAATATGATTCTAATGAAATAGTATTAGACATAATTATTAAAATAAAATTACTAAAAATAAAAATTAAGCCCTAATAAATTTTATTTCATTTTTATGTTATTTTAAAAAACAAAGTGCCTCAATAATGTTATTAATGAGTACATTTTTGTGTAAATTTTTCTAGCTATTCTTTCTAATTTAGTATTAGGGAAATAGAGGAAAGAGAGTAAGTCTACCCTATGTTTTGTTGATAATTTGAGGAAATCTTTTTGAACAAGTTTTGTTTTTCTATAAACACTATAATCTCTGGATGGATATTGAACCACTGATTTTTCAAGGACAATTGTTCCCACTACATTCTTTAGTTTTCATCATGTACAAATAAATTAACTACATTAGTTTAAATACTTTTCTATTCACATTTCACTTATTTGAAAAACACTGAAGTAGATGCTTAAGACATGCTTTCATTGGAAACTTTCTTTTGCTGTCGTTTGCCTCTGCCTTTTGAGACACAGGCATTCTAAACAGATACATCTTTGTCCACACGTTTTTAATCCAGTATTAACTCTCTGAGTAGAGAAGAGATTTGTTCAGTAAGCATTTTCATCATAAATAGATTAATTGGATAATTAATCTGAATCAAGATTTAATGCTTCAGATTGCAAATTGGCCATTTCATGGACATACCCAGAGCTAGCGTCTCTAGCAGCAACTAGCTCTAAGGTCTTCTTCAGTTTCAGGTTCCCAACTAGCAGTGGCATCCCTACAGATGTGTTTTGTTTTTTTTTTTTAATTTTATTTTGTATTTTTTTTTTAGCATTTCTGTATCCTCTCCTGCTTTCGTACACCAACTCTGTTGAACTTTTCACTCAAGCTTCTAGGCAGCAACCTAGTTATAGCTGCCATATTTCCCTTCCCACACAACCAGGAGGAATGGACCTACTGGGGTTAAGTCTTCTCCTTTCACAAAGAAGAGATGTACAAGCTTCAGAGAGGTCCCTGGTCGTCTACTCTGATAGTTTTTCTATTTGAAAAGGTGAGGAACAAAGGTGAAGATGAGAGAGTGGAGATGTTGAAGGAACTGAGTCATAAAAAGCTGCAAGAGGCTTATGTCAAGAAAATCTGGGCCTGATGGGTTTTTGGCAGGAATAGAGCGAAGTTAAAAAATGAATAATACAGCTGGCTGATGTCTGAAAAAAACATTTTACAGCCATAACAATACTGGTATTTCAGTAAATATGTGTATGTATGTGTGTGTGTGTGTGTATGTGTGTGTCTGTGTTACAGCACATACCACCCTTTATTAAAAATGATTTGCCTTTCTAATTATACTTTCCTTGAGCAAACACTATTATCTTGGTTAAAAAAAAATCAATAGAGGAGCTCAAGACTACACAATTAGCTTGGATTTTTACAACTGAAAAAGTTTGTAATGTTTACATGAATAATTGACACCAAGTATTCTAAAATTATCTTCTACTCCAATGCAAGACACCAGAACCAAAAAAAAAAAATTATCTTCTATTGAATGGGCAGGCTACCAAATTCACAATTTTTAAATATGTTTTTTTAAAAAAGAATGAGAGGCCGGGCGCGGTGGCTCACGCCTGTAATCCCAGCACTTTGGGAGGCCGAGGTGGGTGGATCACGAGGTCAAGAGATCGAGACCATCCTGGTCAACACGGTGAAACCCCGTCTCTACTAAAAATACAAAACATTAGCTGGGCATGGTGGTGCGTGCCTGTAATCCCAGCTACTCAGGAGGCTGAGGCAGGAGAATTGCCTGAACCCGGGAGGCGGAGGTTGCGGTGAGCCGAGATCGCGCCATTGCACTCCAGCCTGGGTAACAAGAGCGAAACTCCGTCTCAAAAAAAAAAAAAAAAAAAAGAATGAGAGACAATAGTTCTTATTTTATAATATATGCTGTATATAGTTCTAATTTTTTTTCTACATGCTATTTGAATCAATTTCTTAGAATTACATAACAATAAATAAGTTCAATTAGGTAATAAATGAATGCTTAAGATTTATATTAAAAATTAAAACTAATAACCAAATTAACTGTAATAGCAGAAAAATGTGAAATTATGACAACTTTCTGAATAAGAAAAATCTATAAAGCCAATGTCACTTAGTACATGAAATGTTCTTATTACTGACGATCATTATTAAACTCTAAGAATCAATGCTCAAAGTAACACATTAATTTGCCTAAGAGTTGTATTTTTCCCGATTCATAGTATTCAACTTCTACTACCAAAAATACATAAAATAATATTTTATCAAGAGTTCTACATTAAATAGAAAAATAAAACTTAAATATCTTTTCTGGTATACAATTAAAAACAAATTTTGAAATACAAAATTTGCATGATGAAATGTTTTTACAAATGTTAACAGTGACGTACAAATAATAGAAGTATTCTGAATCTAGTGAAAAATCTCTTCTACTCTATATCATCACTATCAAAAATAGTTCTATTAATAAGTAGCATGACTAAAAGATAAACTGTAAGAGAAAAAGTGTGCAAATAAAGGTAGCTTATGTTTGAACAAGTCAACATTTTTAGAGTAGGATGAAATATACAAATTGTTACTTACTTAGGCATTCTTTCAAAGCTAAAACTTGAACATTAGCTAACTGTTTCTCTCTCTGTATAATCTGCACCGCAGAAAAATGTGGAAGTGACAATAAGTCAAAAGGAAAACCTGAGAAATAATAAATGAAAAAAAAAAGGTCAACATTAAAGATGCCCTCTGCCAACAATTAGTACTCAGTTCGTGGGAAATGTGTTATGGCAGTGATTTAACAACAAATAAAAGTCAATCTCTCACCTCTCTTGATCTTACGTATTTCAAAGTAAATAATAATATTTAAGCAGCAGAAAATAAGCATACACAATTATTTTGCATTTTAAATACTGACCTGATTCTTAAATTAAGGGAATTTAGATAGCAAAGTAGAATTCCCTGAATCACAATTTCTTCTACCCAATCAGAAATCACAGATAGGAAATGGTAGCTAGTCTCTAAAGATACCCCCAAAAGCCACTAAATGAATCACATCTCCTGTTATTTTTTTCTGTGCAGTCCCTTCCACAATGAATCCAACATAGACAAATGTGCTGCATGGTCCTATGATAGCCTTAGCTATGTCTCTCTCCCCTTTCTTCATGCCCATAGTACTCAGAATAACGTAGAATGTACTGGAAATGTACTATCTTGAAATAGGGAGGAACTGCCCAGGATAGCTTGGGCTTTCTTTCTCTGTCCCCTAAAATCGGGGTGTCCTTCAAAGCTTTGCCCAATGAGTCACACAGCCTCTGAAATATAGAAGCCAGGTCAGGCTGCCTTTTGGGACTCCTTAGCTGTGGTGCAAATGGCACACGTGCAGTCAAGACTCCATCTGCCCCGGGAAGCTTTCCTGAGCCTTGGGGTCTGGCTCACAACAGATCCTAGGCTTCTTCTGTTCCTTTCTGCCTGTCTGTAAGTAATAAACCCACTTCACATAACTTGTATGGGAGTGTGTTCTGACACACTAGACCAGGACAAATTGGTAACCAGTACATGGTGGACCTAAACAGTAGCCCAGGGGGAAGCAGAAAGATGTATTTAGACTCCTGTTCCTGGTGGTTGGCATAGTGATGAGCTTCCCTATTCTCCACGCTGTGGTAGTCCTCCCTAAAGATTGATAATTGGACACGCTTCACACTATGTAACGAATAAGGTAAGGTAAACGCAACACTGAATGACTTCTAGCTAGGACATAGAAAGGCTTGCAGATTCATAGAACAACTGCTCTACGTTAGCAATCATATAAGAGGTCAGCCTAGACCAGGCACGATGGCTCATGCCTGTAATCCCACTACTTTGGGAGGCCAAGGCGGGCCGATCATGAGGTCAAGAGATTGAGACCATTCTGGCCAACATGGTGAAACTGTCTCTACTAAAAATGCAAAAATTAGCTGAGTGTGGTGGCACGCACTTGTAGTCCCAGCTACTCAGGAGGCTGAGGCAGGAGAATCGCTTGAACCTGGGAGGCGTAGGTTGCAGTGCGCCGAGATCATGCCATTGCACTTCAGCCTGGCAACAAAGCGACTCTCCACCTCAAAAAAAAAAAAAAAAAAAAAAAAAAAGAAGTCTGCCTGCCTATCCTAAGACCATGACGTTGTGAGGAAGCCCAAGCTAGCTGTAAGTAAAGGGCCTGTGGAGAGAAAATCAGCCCCCAACTGTTCTAGCCATCCTAGCCCAGGCACCAAACATGGGTGTCAAGAAGCTTTCTTAGACATCAAGCCCTGTGGAATCTTCAAACGACTGGAGCCCTAGCTGTATGTGACTGTAACCATACGTAGGACCTCAAAATAGAAACATCCAGCTGAGCCCATTCAACCCACAGGAAAATGAGAGATAACAATAAACTGCAATTTTTAAGCTAAATTTGGGGTGGTTTGCTATGCAACGATAGATAACCTATACAATAAAGACTTGGAAGAAGATGGAAGAATGGGCAATAAAATAAAACATGTGGCTTGAGATGATATAAATGAAAATGAGAACTATAGCAAAATAATATGTATTTAAAGTGGAAAACACTATAAAAATTTCATTTTTACAATTGAAGGCTGATATACTACATTTTACTAGGTATATTGTAAAAGAAATTTGCTGTCTGCACACTAAATTATAAAAATATGTCACATATTTTTTAAATAAAAGGTAAATTAATGAAAGAGAATGGAGTTTGGGGAAAATAAGTTGATTATATTTCTAATATTTCTTCTACTTAAAACCACATATGCTAACTACACACACAAACAAATGTAAACATGTTTTTCTATCTAAAGTAACACTTACTCAATTTTGTTTCCTCTGTCTTTGTTTTCATCTTTCCATGAATTAAACTGAGTGCAAATGAGCCATTGATCTGGTTGGCTGAGTGAATCAATGTGGCTTTACATCTTCTATTGCCATTACCTTGTAACAAGAGATAATAGCTAGAATACTCCCCTTTCACTTCAACATCTGGAACTAAACAAAAACAATTACCTTGTTAAGTATTATGAAAATTCAGCACACAACACAACAGAACCATACATTTGGTCCACAGGTTATAATGACATTTCTATATTATTTTAAAACAAGTTGTTAATACATTCAGGGCTAGTAATTGTTCACTAAATTGAGAAAGCTGTTAAAGAAAAAAATCATAACAAACAAATACAAAGCATAAATCTTTTAGTTTAAATTAAAACTATGACTACTCACTCTTTAACTTTTGATCTGGCTTACTAGAGTTCCACAGTATATTTCTTAAATAACACATCAATAATGTATACTATTTACAGCTTCCATTTCTTTAAAGAAAAATAAACTGACTCCTGCAAACACACACAACATAATTGGTGGGAGTTGAAGCGTACAGCTATACTTGGGAGTAGCTTTTTGCTTCTTGCAGTGTGCATCCATAATGTATTTTACAGAAGGAATGGACAGCATTCATTAATCTGGCATGCCAGTTATGTGAAGGTCAGTTAAGATAGCTTCCAGTATATTTTAAAAGCAAATCAAGTGAGGGTTATAGTGAAGGCTGAAGAAAAACTGTGAAGCCTTTGAGATTAAAAATAGAAGTAGAATCCTTTTTGTTGAAGATGCTGAGTTGAACATAAACATTTATATTCACTATCTCCTGAAATTCCACTAAATGAGAATAAATAAATCTTTAAAAGTAGCATAAACATATAAGAACTAACATTTGGAAGAGACAACAACTAAAATCTGAAAGTAGAAAAGCATATGAACAATTGGTAACAGACTTCAATCTCTTCCCTGCTAAGGAAGCTGAGAAAAACAGCAGAGAAAGCCCCAAAGCAACACCATTTATACAAGTGTTCTCAAGAGGCTCTGGAATGGTGACCCCAGAGAGTACTGGAAGCAAAATGAAGTTGGAAGAGGGAGATAGTTTGAAAGTCAACTTGAGAAACAGGCCTCCTGATCCCTTATTCTGTTCAGGCAAATGACTGTCCGAAGATTAGAGGCTTATTCTCTACAGAGGATAAAACAAAGTGTCTTTGGCTTGAAGATATACAAGGCAGAGTTACAGGTTGATTGATTGATTATCAGGGAATCAAAGTGAATGCTTGCCTCTTTAAAAAGTTACCTATGTCTCTATTTCCCTTAAGTTTATTTTAGGGGCTGTCAGGATGGCAGGGTGAGAGTCTGTGGACCCACTTCCCAGCAATACAAGCACAACTGGTGAAATGATCCTAAGGGTATATACCACATGAAGAAACATTTGTTCAGGAAAATATACTAAGATTAGGGTTGGGAAGAAGCAGGTTGAATAGACCGAAGCTTCTATCCATCTGAGTTGGGAATGGGTTGTGAAGAAGCAGTTTGTGGCTTATTTAAGAGTTCACAGCACTTCAGCTGCAACCTGCTTCTTTCCAATCTATTCCCAATGCAGATGGACAGAAACCAACCAAAGCAGCTATGGCCAAGAAGATGGGTCTCCCTCTTCCCTCCACTCCCAATCACAGAAGTAGCAGGATGTCAGCATGTCTCATCCCCTCATTCTGAGTTGAAGAGACTAAATTCCTGATGCATACGGTGAGAATTCAGGGGCTTCCTTTCTCCACTTAGTCCCTATTCATAAGGTAGAGGTTCTACTCCAGGATAGGCAAGCTGAGAAAATAGGGACCCAAATGTCCTTATCTCAGCACACTCACAGGGCAGAGTTTCTATACCGGAAGAGGTATATGAAGACCAGGCCTGGCACGGTGGCTCACGCCTGTAATCCCAGCACTTTGGGAGGCCAAGGTGGACAGATCACGAGGTCAGGAGATCAAAACTATCCTGGCTAACACGGTGAAACCCCGCCTCTACTAAAAATATAAAAAATTAGCCAGGTGTGGTGGCAAGCACCTATAGTCTCAGCTACTCAGGAGGCTGAGGTAGGAGAATCACATGAACCCGGGAGGCAAAGGTTGCAGTGGGCCGAGATTGTACAACTGCATTCCAACCTGGTGCGAGACTCTGTTTCAAAATAAATAAATAAATAAATAGACCAGAAGCTACATGCTGCCCCAGCTACCAAAGTAGTGGCTCAGAGATTTTGCCCAGGGGAAGAGACCTTAAAACAGAAGGCCTTAAGTTCTTCCCAAAGAAACTGATTTTATCTGAAAAAGATTGTGGGTAAGTTGGAGCCTAAAGTTAAAGTACCATTAATTCTGTTCATAAACTGCAGTTTCAGAAAATGAATTTAAATGAAGGTTATTAGAAAGGAAAAACACTTGTTGTTACCAGTTTTATTTGAAATTAAGGTTTGCCAAAAGATACAGTAACTTTAATTCATTGACCATTTTAGCTGCTTGCTGATTCAATTTATATATATATATATATATCTTCAATTTATGACATTCTTTCCACATTTATTTAAAATTCCATCACCTTTATTTGGATTTTAATCACTGAAGCTTGTAATTACAACAATCTTATTTTCCTCAAAAGAAAAATACTTACTGTAAAGAACTCCCCTAGCTATAATGACTTTGCAGTCATTTCAAAAATGTTGCTCCAGATTTGGCAGGTGTTAATTGAAGACTTATTAAATAACTTTTATGTAAATACCACAGAGAGTAACAGACTTACAATTAGCATAGTTATTCCAGCCTCATCACTCTTCCTAACGTAATAAAGGAAAATGATTACCAAAAAAAATTCTGTCTATTTTCAACTGTTATGTTTATTTACATTATCATTTGATAAGAAGGTGTTGGCTTGTATGCCCCTTTTCCACCGAAAGCATATATATATAAGCACATATATATATATATATAAGCATATATATATATATATATATATATATATACATTTCAGATATACTATAAAGATAAAATGGAAAAGGTAGAAACTATTAAGTATCCATTAGTTGCATCAAAGTTTACATATAGCATATAGACCACAATAAAGTCTTATGTCTTTAGTAGTATTAGCAAAAAAATTCTTATGTAATAATCAAGTTATGTTCTTTGTCAATAAGTTTCTTAGTGGTTCTTAAAACCCTATAACACTCTTATTTAAAAATACTTAAACAATATGGAAACACAATCATAATAATCAAAGGATAAATAATATTCCACATGATAGAAGAAAATAAAATATCCCAGGACTACTGGGGAAACAGGATATTCTTAGTAAGTGAATATTCTGACTTACTGATAGTAATACATGTTCATTAAGAAATGACAAAATAATATAACCAATTATTTTAATAATAATTCCAAAAATGAAACAATAAAACAAAATCTAGTTTCCAATGTAGGCATCTTAGGAGGCTACACTCTTTTCAACAATGAGATCATTGTTTAATTCTAGATTCAACTTTTAAAACAGCCCTTAGTGCCAGCTGAGGAGGCATGAGAAAAAAAAAATCAACCTAATTACTTCATATTTATAAAGCATCTTCAATAATGTATTACCTAGCTTGATACTCCACTGTATTCATCAGAGTAAGCTTTGAACAATTTAGCATAAAACTGGGCTGCCACTGAAATTGTTTAAGAAAATGCCTGTAGTTCAATTTTAAAAATAATCTAAAATGGTTTTTAAAATGATAATATTGTTGAATAGGTGTATGAAGCCTCACTACTGTGAAAATTATAAAAACACAAGATTTATCAATTTCACCATGACTATTTTAAACAATTAAGTAATCATAAATTAAATACATTTCTCCTCTCAATTACAATATAATAAAATACACAATTTGAAAGCTACAATGAATAGAGAAGCCATTCAGAAGATATTTCCAGATCCTACTCATTATGAACAGCAGTGATTTATTGTTCCAGACACAGAAGCATGTAAGATTGGACAGAATAACAAAAAGCTACTGCAGAGCTTAGAAAGTGTGTACCTTCATTACCAATTTGAATCAAACATATTTGAGGCATAATAAGCAAGAAGTAGTATCCTCATTTTCTAGATAAGGAATTAAAGACCTAAAGTCTGATTCTCAATTTTTTTTCTACCTCAAAGCATCTGAAGGATTCTTCAGTAACAGTGATTTGCGCCTAGTGTTGGGGAAAGCACCACCTAGGACAGAGGTTCTCAATCTTGGATATACATTTGAACCACTGAGGATGCTCTAACAAACCACTGACACCCTAGGTCTACCCTAGAGATTTGAGTTGGATTATTCTCAGGTGGAGCTCAGCTTGATGTCAAGGTGATTTTAATTTGCAGCAGGTGTTAAGAATCATTGAACTGGAGAGAGAAACAAAACTCTGCATTTAGATTGAAGGACCTAAATGATTCTTAGAAAAAAGTGATTCTTTAAATAACTTTAAATAACTGTCAGAATGATTCTAATATGTAGCTGGTGTTAAGATTCATTAGAGAAACAAAACTCTGCATTTAGGTTGAAGGACTACATGATTCTTACAAAAAATTAAAACCTTCAATGATGTTAAATTACACATGTATTTACATTATGTACATATATATTAAAGTCTAACAAATTTCGAGACATGTAAACAACTGTGCATCCATCACTATGATCCAGTTCTGAGAAGTTTCCATCATGCCTTTGCAGTCAATCTAACTTCTACCCATGGCCTCAGACAACCATTCATGTTTTCTCTCTTCTGTCTTTTATAGAAATTTCATACATATGATCTTACAATAATCTTGTCTGATTTTATTTATAAACTTAACATGTTTTTCAGGTACACCCCAAACTTTCATGCCTTCTCATTGCTCAGTATTCCATTATATGCAAAAAATTATCTATTCATCAGTTGATGGATTATTTGCGTAGTTTCCAAGTGTTGGCTACTATCAACACTTTTATAAACACTTGCGTATAAGCCTTTGTGTAAACATACGTTCTCATTTCTCCTGGGTAAATAGGAGCGAAAGGGCTGAGTTGTACAGTCAAGTGCAAGTTTAACTGCCAAACTGTTTTGCTTAGTAGCTGTGGTATCTTATGTCCCCAGCAATAATGTGTGAGATGTGCAGCTTCTCCACAT